CATGTATGCCTCTAAAAGTTGATGGGGGAAGAGATACAGAGGAAGATCTAGGAAGTGAAGAAGGCCAGCTAATTTTATTTGTAGCTTTAACCATCTGCTGCCATTAACATGAGCAAGCAGCTATTTGCATTTTAGTGTTTGGGTGATCTTAACTTTCCAGTTTAAGAAACAAGTACTAATCTTGGTTTAACTACTAAGATATCCTCATATTTTCCCTTTCCCTGAAGTGAATATGTTAATATCCCTTTATCTTGTTTGGTAATCAAAATGTTTTTACTAAAATTAAGTAGAAAGGGCAGTACAATTCAAGTTTAGGAGCCAAAAAGATTTTTTTCCCTGAATTTCAAGTAAAAGCATTTTATCCTCCTTCTGTAATTGTTCCAAAACCACCCAAGAAGACATAAAGAGTTTATAAATGGAGAAGAAGTATGAAAAATTTTTAATGCAGGATTACATTGCTTAAGGTTAGTAGATCTTAGCTTGCTTCAGAATGTTAAGAGACTTAAGTTGAAGCACCATCTAGTGGTTCTCAACTGTGTTCTGCTAAAAGTTGCTCCCAGTCTCCCTCTATTTAGGACCACAGTTAATTTGATGGGCATGAATACCATTGACCCTTGAACAGCAAGTTTAAAGTGCACAGATCTATTTATATGTGGAATGCTTCTACTTCTTTGGCCCCTGAGATAGCAAAACCAACCTCTCTACTTCCTCCTCCTCCTCAGATTACTCAGTGTGACGAGAACAAGGATGAAGACCTTTATGATTATTTACTTCCACTGAATGAATAGTACATATATTTTCTCTTCCTTATGATTTTCTTAATGTTTTCTTTTCTCTAGCTTGCTTTATTGTGAGAATACAGTATACAATACATTTAACATACAAAGTATGTGTTAATCAACTGTTTATGTTATCAGTAAGGTTTCTGGTTGACAGTAGGCTGTTAATAGTAGTTACGTTTTGGGGGAGTCAAAAGTTATATGCAGCTTTTCCACTGCATGGAGGGTTAGTACCCCTAACCACCATGTTGTTCAAAGGTTAGCTCTATATGAACACATATGTGTGTTCAGAAAAACAAATATGGAGTTTTTTATCTTTATGTAGGACTGGGAGGATGGGGGTAGTAGCTATAGCTTTTTACTCTTTCAATCTAATATTTCCCACCCAGAAAATTATGGCAGTGAGAATGGGATAAAGAAATAACATGAATTCACATAAATCTCTTCTAGAAATCATGAAGTTCATCCAGTGGGAAAAAAGAATTAATGCAATAAAGTTTCATAGATTTCAGTTCTTCTGTTTCTCCTGCTCACATCCTTTTTAAAAGCCCACACCAATATCTTTATCTTCCTTCTGAACTGCATAATGTAAACATGTTCTCACACATCTAGGTATTGGCTAACAATTAGATCATTTTTACATACTTCCAAGTTCTCAAGCCCTTCTCCACCACAAGCCCAGAGGATCCCTTGCATTTTATATAACCAACCATTTTTCTTGAAGTATCATAGAGATAACTCTCATACCTATGATTCCTATCTTCTGAAGTTACATCTTTTCATTACCTCTATGGGCATAATGAAAATGGACCATAACAATTTCACATGAGTGGGAACATCTGTTTCATTGTCACTAGGGGAAGAACAAAAATTGGACATGAAAACATATATGAGTAGAAAATAACTTGTAGCAAGATTGACACAAACCTTCACATTAACAAACTAGATATTTGCATCAATTAGGATTAAGCTTAGCTATGTGTAGTGTAAAACTGAAAATAACACTGGCATGAACAAAATTTTATTCACTCTCACACAAAAGAAGTCAATGAATAGGTGGTTAAGAGTTTGCAGGGAAACTTCATGGTCATCAAGTCCAAGATCCTTCCATCTTTCTTTTCTTCTGTCCTACTGAGTGGTTTCTATCCTCAACATTACCCATGGCCCAAGTTGGCTGCTGGACCATCACTCATCTCCCCAGTGTTGCAGTCCAGGAAACGAGGAGAAGCAAAGGAGGACCCTTCCTTTGTCTTTAAAGAGCTTTCCTGGAAATACTCCACAAGATTTGTATTTATATCTCAGTTGCTAGAACTTATGCAAGTAGGCATACTCAGCAAAGGAAACTGAGAAATGCCTTTTAGCTAAGTACATTCCAACAATAAATTAAATTGGAGTTATGCTATTAAGCAATGTGTCAGTTACCTAAGATACCAAGAATTCTGTGTAATAACCATAAAACCTCTGTGGTAACAATTGCTAATATGCATGAGATCAAGTGGAGGTCAAGTCTTCTGATCTTTACTGAACTTCCTTATGTGTTTAGGGGATGGCTAACTATTGCATCTTCTAGGCTGGCCTCAACAGAGAGGTAGGGGTGGGACTGATGGGACTCAGCTTTGTTCTGCTTAGTTCTCATCCTCCATCTGGCCGGGCCAGGCATACTCTCATGGAGTAACAAGTAGAACAGAAGTTCTTGAGACCTGTGCTCAAAACAGGTACACTAACACTTCTATCTCATTTTATTGGCCAAAGCAAACTGCATAGGGTGGATAAATATGTACTCTCTGTATGGAAAGAACTCTAAAGTCAACTGAAAAATTGCATGGATAGAAGGAGAGGTGAAGATTCAGACTCATAAGTATAATCATCTTCCACAAGGAGAAAGGGGAGGATGGGCTTTGGACCAGTGATATGGCTTGGCTGTGTCCCAACCCAAATCTCATCTTGAATTGTAGCCCTCGTAATTCCCATGTGTTATGGAAATCAATTCTACATTGTAGCTCCCATAATCAATTCCAAAATCAATAGAAATCAATTCCACATTGTAGCTCCCATAATCAATTCCAAAATCAATAGAAATCAATTCCAATTATAGCTCCCATAATTCCCATGTGTTATGGGAAGGATCTGGTGGGAGGTAATTGAATCATGGGAGCAGGTCTTTCCCATGCTGTTCTCAAGGTAGTGAGTAAGTCCCCTGAGATCTGATAGTTTCATAAATGAAACTTGCACACACTCTCTCTATGCCTGCCACCACGTAAGACGTAGGCTTGCTCCTCTCTGCCTTCTGCCATGATTGTGAGGCCTCCACAGCCATGTGGAACTGTGAATCAATTAAACCTTTTCATTTATAAATTACCCAGTCTTGGGTATGACTTTATTAGCAGTGTGAGAACAGACTAATACAACCAGGTAACCAGCAATCCCTGTCACAGTATTTTTTTTAGTCTATTACAGAATTGTATTAGTAGACTGCTTCCCATTCTATGCCCTGTCTTAAACATAAAGGAATTATAATAAGAAAAGAAAGGCACACAAGAGCTTACATCATATTATATATATGTATATATATTGTGGACAATCTTTATTGTGGGCAGAGACTGGGCTATATGTCGCAGTGAACCTGATTCCTTTTCTTTCAAGGCAGCTAGACTATATTTTCCAACTTCTGTGGGTGTTAGGATAGCTATGTTACTAAGAACTAACCAATGGAATGTGAGCAGAAGTGATTACTACTCCAAGCCTGGCCCATAAACACCTCCCACAAAGCATCCTTCATTCTCTCTCCCTGTTTCCTATTCACCAGCTGAACTAGAGAATACTCTGAGAAGGGCAGAGCCGTAGGATAAAATGATAGCTTAAAGTAGCAGCCCTCCTCCACTACTGCCTCAGCCTCACCAACTGCACTGTAGTGTGATGTGAGCAAGAATTAAATTTTTGTGGTTTGAATACACTGAGATGTAGGGCCTGTTTGTTTCAGCAATTAAATGATCATATGCATATATCACCCAATATTATGCATTCAATTTTTTCCTTAGGATTTTGCTAAAAATAAAAGTAATAGACCAAATCACCTGTGTATTAGTTTGTTTTCATGCTGCTGATAAAGACATACCTGAAACTTGGAACAAAAAGAGGTTTAATTGGACTTACAGTTCCACATGGCTGGGAAGCCTCAGAATCATGGGGGAAGGTAAAAGGCACTTCTTACACGGTGGCAGCAAGAGAAAATGGGGAAGAAGCAGAAGCGGAAACCCCTGATAAACCCTTCAGATCTTGTGAGACTTATTCACTATCATGAGAATGGCATGGGAAAGACCAGTGCTCATGATTCAATTACCTCCCCCTGGGTCCCTCCCACAACACATGAGAAATCTGGGAGATAAAATTCAAGCTGAGATTTTGGTGGGGGCACAGCCAAATCATATCAATCTGCTAATTTAAATGAGAAAGTCTTCTTTTAAATAAAAATACTTTTTACTATATGATTACCATCTGTATGAAGTGAATATAGAATCTCAGTTTACAGTGGCCCTAGAAGATAGAAGGATTTCACCAATATCTTACTCTTACCATCATTAATCCATCCAACTGCTGAAACCTGAGTGTAAACAAGAGAGAGAGTTGAGACATTCGAGGTCTAAAAAGTAAGGGGACATTCAGTGTCATCTCCAGTGACCCTGACATTTTCTTAGTGGAGATCAACTTAAACAATTTCTGCTAAAATGTAAATACTGCTAAAAATGACTCAGCCATTTACTCAAGAATCAGTCCAAACATGCAATACTACTGCCCCACTAATTGCAAGCAAGGAGGTAATGGATGAAAGGTCAGCCGCTAGCTGACTTGCAGACAGTGTTTGCAGTGGTTCCTGCCATTGCAGCATTGATTAGCATCTCGGGTATGCAGAGGAGCCAAGAAGCTAAGAGGAAAGCACCATTCAAAGAACCCAAAGGGCGTAGAAAAACTGCCAGGCATCGTTATTTGCCTTTTGCTGAGCCATCTTCCTCTTTAGTATGAAAAGCAGTTGTTTCACTTTTGCAAATAAAAATTTACTAAGGGAAATGGGAAAGTAGATGAAGTATCCTAGGCATTTACGACGGCAGGCCCGAAGCTTTTGCATGTGTGCTTAACATTGTATGCTAAGAGTCTGAAACAGGTCTTGGTAACTATTAGTCCATTTTCACACTGCTATAACGAATTCCTCGAGACCGGGGGTAATTTATGAAGAAAAGAGGTTTAATTTACTCACAGTTCCACATGGCTTGAGATGTCCCAAGAGACTTACAGTCACAGCAGATGGCAAGGGGAAGCAAGGCATGTCTTATATGGTGGCGGATGGGAGAGCGAGCAGGGGAAACTGCCACGTATAAAACCATCAGACGTTGTGGAAACTTTCTCACTGTCACGAGAACATCATGGGGGAAACCGCCCCCATGATCCAATCACCTACGCCAAGTCCCTCTCTCAACATGTGGGGATTACAATTTGAGATGAAATTTGGCACCAAACCATATCAGTAACTATCACATCAAGTCACAGAAGTTAAGATAGACTTTGAACATGAAGGCTTACTGCAAATGGCTGCTTTTTTGTGATGTCTCAAATATAAGTTGACTTCCGGCTCCTTCGACTTTCATTCTTTGGGAGGAAAAAACACATAGAATATATGATTAAGCAGGAATGAACACAAGCCCTTAACAGAGAAATTTGACAGAAACATTTGAGAAGCCCCAGAAACTTTATTTCCCCCAGCACATTCTCAAGCTGTGGGCTAGGCCACTTCTCCTAGATCAAAGCCACAGAGAAGCAGAAGTCCTTGCCCCAGTGCTGCAGGCACATCTGCCTGGGCTGTCAGTTTTACTGATGCCTTCACATTAAAGAAGGGGCTGGAGGGAGAATACAATATACCAAAAGAGTGTCAAGCTTTTCCCAGTACATTGTAAACTCAAAATGTTACAATGATTTTTTTTTCCTACTGTGTCTTGCTTTTCAGGCTGCAGTTCCTACCTGACATCATTTATCCTCTGGAAGAAAACAAACCCCGTGATGACCAGAATCACCACAAAAAGAGAGTTTCATATAAAGAATGATCAGTAAGGAGAACAACGCTGGAGATCCTGAGGTTCTGAGACCTTTAAACACAGACAGGGGTAAGAAATTATTTCAAGGATTCTTCTAATTACAAATTAGAGCTAATCATTTTAAAGAACATTTTAAAATATTCTTAAGAGTTCATAGACTGTCATAACCATAAAAACTAAATTACAACTCAAATGTTACTAATATATTATTCTTTCCTGGCAGAACTTAGGAACCATGCTTGTGTTTTGTACATGGTAGGTTTCTGACAAATGTTTTCTGAGCAAATAAATACACACTACGCATTGCTGATACTTTCCAATTTTATAAGAAAAACAATATGTTTTCCCCAGTATATTTCAACTTCCCATGCAAATATTAGCCTTTGAAAGAACATTACTCAATATTTGGGGTATGATCTATTAACACTTTCCACACAGTGAAGTGATTTTCTTACTAAGTTGATGTAACCTCTTTAGCAAGGTGTTTTAAGTCTTCCTACTTTCATTTTATTTATCTGTGAAATGGCCCTAAGAATTACTGCAAAGATAAATCAAACTAATTAGGAACATCATTCTTTTTTTTTTGAGATGGAGTCTCGGACTGTCTCTCAGGCTGTAGTGCAGCGGCGAGATCTCAGCTCAACCTCCACCTCCTAGGTTCAAGCGATTCTCCTACCTCAGCCTCCTTAGTAGCTGGGATTACAGGCACACACCACCCAGCCCAACTAATTTTTGTATTTCTAGCAGGGATGGGGTTTCGTCATGTTGGCCAGGCTGGTCTCAAACTCCTGACCTCAGGTGATACCCCCGCCTCAGCCTCCCAAAATGTTGGAATTACAGGTGTGAGCCACCACGCCCGGCCAGGAACATCATTCTGAAATCTTTTATTCTATGAAATTGGCCAGCTAGGCTGGGCATGGTGGCTCATGCCTGTAATCCCAGTGCTTTGGGAGGCCAAGGTGGGTATATCACCTAAGGTCAGGAGTTCAAGACCAGCCAAACCAATATGGCGAACCCTGTCTCTACTGAAATACAAAAATTAGCTGGGTGTGGTGGCATGCACCTGTAATCTCAGCTACTTATGAGGCTGAAGCGGGAGAATCGCTTGAACCCAGGAGGCAGCGGAGGTTGCAGTGAGCCGAGATCATGCGACTGCATACCAGCCCGGGCGACAGTGCGAGATTCCGTCTCAAAAAAAAAAAAAAAAAAAAAGAAGAAAGAAATTGGCCACCTAAAGAGTGTGTGAACTCTAAATACAAGTCTGACTCCTGGCTCCAAGAGGTCATTCTATCCTGTTAAATAACCTGCTCAAAGACTAAACTAGAAAAATGTCAGATAACCCTAGGCATTATGAGGAAATAAGAAAACAATATGGTTACAGTCCTCAAAATATCTCACAAACCAACTGGAGAAGTCAGATCCATACAAATGAAAAGACAACTTAGATGAAAGAAAAATAAAAGCTCAAGACCCCAATTCACTATGCCAAATGGGAAAAATTAAGCTGAAAGCTGAGTCAGGCAAGCAGCTGCCTTTCCTTTTATTCCTCAGCAGAGAGCTACAGATAAAACGTAAATTTCTTCACAAGTAGTTACTCTGTGTTCGCCTCATCATAATTGACTATCCCCCTACCTGCTCCGTTTTTCTTACATCTGAATTACCATACCCTTCCTCTTTCCCCTCCAGTGCCCTTTTACCCTTTAAATATTGAAGCCCTCAAAGTCATCTTTGGAGAAAGGCACAGATCACCAACTGCTTCTCTGATTCTGGGTTTTTGTTTGTTTTTTGTTTTTTTTTTTTTCAATGTGTGCAAATTGTTCTAAACCTTGGCAAAATAAACTTCCAAATTAATTGAGACCTGTCTCTGAAATGTTTCAGTTTAAATGTACAAGAGAGAAAACAGTGCTGGATGAACTGATTATAGATTATAAATTACAGATTATAAATCATCTAAGGAATAAAAACATTTAATCAACTCTAACAGGGAGGTTGGGGGAGGCAGGACTTGAACTGAGCCTTGCTAGTCTGCAGGATTGAAAAGGTTAAAAGAAGAAGGACTTTTCAAGATAAAGAAACAATTTGAGAAAAGTTTAAAAGACTAGCTTACCTAAGTCATATTTAGAGCATAGAATGGAATATATAGAGATGAATCTGCAATGATTTGAACCTACTTCTGCAGTTACTTGTATTATGTCAGGTACTGTGCCAGACTTAATGAATACAAAAATAAAAGAAGTGGTTCTAACTCTCAAGGACCTTACACTGTGCTGAGAGTCACAGAAGTAAGTGGTTGTAATATAATAAGAAATATATATTTGGTCTTTGTCTGCCAGTTCCTGGCACAGTTCCAAGGATTTTTCCTAAACTCCTTGGAAATTCCACAGTGATCCATCTCTTGTATGTTAATGAGATAAGTGGTGGCTGGGCCTTCAGAATGGGGCTGGTAATTAGAAAGACCAAGGTATGGTTAGAGGGTTGAAACTCACCCCCTACCACCACCCTCCCCTTCCACTGACCTCCTGGGAGGGGAGAAGGGCTAGAGATTGAGCTCATAACCAATGCCCAATAATTTAATCAATCATACCTGTATAATAGAGCCTATACAACAACCCTACATGACAGAGTCTGGAGAGCTATCTGGGTTGGGAGATTTTCCCAGCTGGTGAACACACTGAGGGACTGGGAGGTTGGCACTCCCAGAGTCATCATGGAAGCTCTTTCCTCCATACCTTGCCCTATGCATCTCTTCCTTTTGTCTCTTCCTGAGTTGGATACTTTATAATAAATCAGTCATAGTAAATAAAGTACATTCCTAAGTGTGAAAATAAGTAATTTAAAAATCCAAGCTGTTGGTACTTTAAAATATTTTGAGCCTTAACAGAATACGATTATGAGACCTGAACAAGCAGCTATGACCTAGGAAGCCATAACTTTTGTTTCACTCGTTGTGCGTTAACCTTTTTCCTTACCTACCCATCCCTTTGGAGTCTGTGTTACCCGAATAGCTATTCTCAGACTCTTGCTTAAATAAACTCTTTTAAACTGGATTCTGATCCTTTTGATTATATCAGGTTGACATGAGTTCTGTGAGCCACTTTAGCAAATTATTAAACCTGACAAGGGAATGATGGGAACTCCCTGAATTTATAGCCAGTTGATTAGAAGTTCAGGTGGCAACCTGGGACTCGTAACAGATGTCTGAAGTGAGGAAAATCTTATGAGACTAAGCCCTTAACCTGTGCAGTCTGTGCTAACTCCAGGTAGTTAGTGTCTGAATTGAATTGTAGGACACCTAGTTGGTAGCTGGAGAGTTGGAGAATTAGTTGATGTAGGGAAAAAAACACACACATTTGGTGTCAGAAGCATTGTGAATGAAAACAGTGTCGAGCAGTCAATTACACGGCTGGGGAGATACTTTGACAGAGGAATGCATAAGCATTCTGTGAGCACAGAGGCGGAATAGCTAACTGAACTTCAAGGCAGGAGAAAATCATCCCCGAGGATCAATGTCAAACTAAGTCTTAAAACTTCAACAGGAATCGATCAAATGCAATGGAAGAAGAGGGTACAGGGAAAGAAGTGCCTTATGGAGAGGTAGAAATTGTATGTAAAAGGGAACAGAGGAATACAAGCACTTAACACTTTTGAAGAACCTAAAGAGGTCCACATGCATGGGGTACAGAATAGAGAACAGTGAGACACAAGGCTAATGAGAGCAGCCGGTTGAGATTGTGAAAGTGTTTCACTTGATGTAAAGCAAAGAGATTATGTAAGTAGGAGAGTGGCATTTTAGAAAGGTCCCTCCAGAAACAGTAGAGGGGATAAATTGGAGGAAAGTAACCTGGGGCCAGGAAGGTTTGTTACACGGACATTATAATAATCCTGATGTGAGTTACTATTTGACCAATTAAGACAGTAGGGAAAAAGAAAAAGACCCAGATGTAAGAAAAAAATTAAGGTCAAATCAACAAAACATCGTAACTGGCATTGAATATGGGGATAAGAAAGAGAAATATTGTAGAATATTCTAACATTTCTAGCTTGAGTCATTTATCAAGATATACAGATGTAGGGCTCACAAAGGGGTAGTGGAGAATGGTTTCAGAAATACGTAAGTAGAGGTGCCCTTGATGCATCCAGGTGAAGCTTTCCAGTGGGAATGTGGTTTTGGTCATTGTGTAGCCAAGGAGAGAAATCTGAGCAAAACTATAGACTTGAGAGTCAGGAATTAGACAGTGGTTGAAACCATGGACATGGATGAGATTATTCAAAGAACAAAGGTACAATGAAGAGATGGACAAAGATGGAATACATAGAAATGTGACCATTCATGGGGTGAATAGATGAAATAAATCTATTTAAGAAAACAAAAAAGTTGACAAAGTTAAGAAAAGAACCAAGTGAGAACAGGAGAAAAACACATCAGAAGGAAGAAGAAACCATAACAAATACTATTAAAAAGCAAATAAATAAAAAATTAAAAACTATATTATATAAAATTATATTAGATATTTTAAATTAGTAATTATAATAAATATTACAAAGAAGCTAATTAAGTGAACAAAGAATGAAACATTTATATTTTATTTGGCATCTGAGAGATGCTTTTTGTCAGAGCATTTTCTCTGCAGGGAGACGCAAATGAATTAAGGGATAAATGTGAGGTGATATAGAAGAGGCAATAAGTGTAGACGCCTCTTTAAAAATAAAAAAATCTTGGATATGAGTAGAAGCCAAGAGTTAAATGTTTGAGGAAGTCATAACACCAAGTTTTTAGATATGAAAGAAAAATAGGCATGTTTTATGAGCAACTTTAGGAAAAAATGATTTAAGGAACAAAAAAATTAAGCAAAAGAGAAGTGAATGAAAGTTCCTAAGGAGGTAAAGGGGGACAAAGATTTAGAATATAGGTTGGATGTTGGTACTATAGAAGGGAAGATCAGATAATACCAAAGATAAATGCACTGATCCGTAGATAACATGTATGAAGTAAGAATTTAGACTTGATGGGAGATTGATCATGGAAAACACAGTTAAAGAATATATGGTTTCCTTTTGGGGTGATAAGTATGTTCTAAAATTGATTGTAGCAATGGTCACACAAGCATTGAAGTGCATGCTTCAAATGGGTGAATTGTACGGTATATAAATTAGATGTCAATAAAGCTGATGTAAAAAAGAAACATGAATGATATGAGGAAAAATTAATATAATTATGTTTAATATTAATTATAATAATTACAATAGGTAATTTTTATTAATAGGATACATATAATAGCCAACATTAATTAATATAAGGAAGTCTAGTGGCTAACATTTGCTGAGTATCAATTATGTAGTGGTGTATATTAATACAATTAAATATATAACATGTTTTTTATATATGTACTTTTATTTAATTAAACCAGTAATCCTATTAGGTGGGTCTCATTATCTTCATTTAACAGGTAAAGAATAATGAGACAGAGTTTTAAGTTCAAGTTCATATAGCTGGTGAACAAAAAGCCATGTTATGTGAAAGGCTTTGCTGCTAATCACGAGATTATCCTGTCCAAAACAATATAAAGATGTAGACCTTATCTTTTCATCTTTGCATCACCGGCTTCAAACTTATAAATAGCATTCAATAAGTATTTGGTGAATTAATTAATAGATTGCTTTTAGATGATGAGATGGGGGAAGAAATACTTGTGTCTTATTCAGAGTAACAAAGTGATAACTACTACAAGAAATAAAATCAGGAAAGAAATAACTGTCATTCTGGGCTATCTACTGAACAAAGATTGCTAAAACTATATAAAACTCTTGATATTTCATATCAAGAATTAATCTTAAAGTAAGAGTCTATATACCACAAATTTAGCAAAATATATTTTTATGGCTGTTCCACTAAAAGATAGATAGATTAGTTTTAGAGAATATTTTCAAACCAGGAGCTCAAGTTTTCTCACCTGGCATTTGATTATTCATAATTTTCTGTGGAAGAAAAAGTTGAGCATTAAGTTTACTCTTCTACAAGAAACAGACGCTTACCTGAATTCAACTTTATGAACTGACTTTTGTTGCCAGTCAAATGGGAGACAGGGCAGGTCACGGTAGACACATCGTGGCCCTCCCAGTGGCATGCACTCTTAACAGTCACTGTGCCATTGCCCCAGTATTCTTGCTCAGTGACACAATCCCCCTCTGGGATCCAGGAGATCTGTGCAGCTGGCTTCCCTGCAACTGCCTTGCATACTACAGTTCCATTCCTACTTTGAAACAGGGTCACTTCAGGAGTAACTGCAGAGAGGAAAGGGAAAAAAAGAATTCAGAGAGACACTTGCTTCAGTCACAAATCTGATGTGAAATACCACGATATATGATGCTCCTTACCTAACACTTGGAGGTGATATCCACGATGGAAATTCCCATCAGGTGCTCTCTTTATGCATCTGTAATACCCGTCATGAGTGATGGCCACTGGATGAATCTAAAGGGCAGGATTCTGATCAGGTCTAGAGACCCAGGTTATTCTCTCATCAGTACAGTTGTTTTCCTTGGTCTCATTTGTTTCTTTCCTGTAGCCTTTTTTACAGGAAGGCTGGCCTCTCAGGATTATTTCCCATGTTATTATGATCAAATATTTTAATGCAATAGGAGGGCAGCAAAGCACAGCATTTTTACCCATCAGTATAGGACATGAAGTGTTAACTGGATGCATACATGAAAGGAGAATGATAAAGAAAATCTCAATGAAGAACCTCAGGCGTTATGTTTATTCACAATAGTATATTACATGAAGTTATATTAGAACATAAATTTGCTGATCTTATTCCAGAAATATTAGGCTTACTTATGAAAATAACATTCACAAAATATAAATAATATGTTGAATCCAATCTAGAAATTAACACATTTTCTCCAGTTTTATGTATTATTAGAAAAACAGTATACATAATATTGTATTCTGAAATACAATAAAGTATTCTGAAATCAATTCAGGAGTTTTAATATCTAGAAACAGAGAAGAAAACAGAATTATAAATTAAACAACAAAGGCAGTGTTCTATATCTAATCTTTAGATGGTAGAGACTACTTTATTTATCATACAATTCATGTGCCTTGGAAGGGAAAGTGGAAAAACTGGTGATGTGATTGTCTCCTCCTTTGTTTTGGTGAGCACAAGAACATCAGTAACATCAAAGTTAAATGCCTGTCTCTAAGGTCGTTATTTCAGACAAGCATAAATATGGAAAGTTTATGGCTCTTTCATTAAAGGTAACTAATATGGCATTCAGGCTTAGCTAGCTGGACATTTTTTAAGTTTATTTTTTATTTAGTGAGAGCCATAGATCTTTAAAAAAAATCTATAATTTTACCAGCTGAGCCATCACATGTAAATTAAAAGAAATGCCTAGGAGCTCAAATTTTCTTACCTAGAGATGTTTAGAAATACATATTTCTAATTTAAAAAGTAGTGTGGCATATACTTTTTAAAATGCTTTATTTTCCTTTGGACATTTATCAGGAAAAAGTTTTATTGTAAGTTTGTGACATTGTCAAACATAGCCTTTGGATATTTTCCTTCCTTCTTATTTAGTCACACGTACAATACCAGAGAGTTCAGTGGTAAACTTTGCTGACAGATTTTATTTCTGTGTATTCAATACAATCATCAGAAGTAAATGTTTAAGTCAACCCTTTTCTGTCCATCTTTTAAAAAAGTAAAAAGTAAGCCATGCATCCTACACATCCTACAAGCATCTTCCAACATAGATTCTCATGCATTTCATAAGCTGCCACAATGTTTCCACAACGGATCAGGGTTTACTGAGAGGTAATTATTCTGCCAAAGTGTCTGTCACTACTCACCTGTAAGTTAAAAAGGTGAGTGTCAGAGATGTCATCACTGTCGCATAAGCAGAATCAGTTGCAGAGGGGCAAACCCTTATGTGGATGACGCTTGTTTTTGCTAAACCCTACACTTAATATCTCTCCTCTCCTGTTTTGGTGTTACCCATCTCTTTTGCAGTACTTTAACCCTTGTATTTCACAGTCAAATAATGATCACATAATTAGATACAGAAAGAGGTAGGACTTTAATGCAGACCTCAAAGGTCGTTAAATCCGCGTTCCTTCCACCATGCCACCTTAGCAAAGGTTCAGAGGCAAGCAAGAAGATGGCTTGTTTGGAAAACTAGAGACTGGGACATTCAGGGTCCCTCGTACCACAGCACTCAGATCAACATGTTCTTCGAGTAGTCACAAGGCTGGCCTCCAGCCAGGCCATCAGCTAATAATTCTACCGAAGTTCAACTTTCCATGCCTCAGTGTTGGCCACTACTAAGGAAGCATATTACCTTCTCGGAAAACTGTTGAATTGTTCCGTGTCATCTGCTTTTCATCCATACATGAACTACTTGAAACTTGAAAATAGTTACAGAAGAATAAATGAAATCGATTTTATGTATTCAGAATGGAAGCAAGTATTTCCCCACAAAGTCTTACTCAACATGAAGACAATTAGTTAATGATAACTAAAATTATATAAAAATCATTGTAAAACAGAAATTAGAAGTTATGCCATCATTAGAGGAAAAAACATGTTAACATCTTTAAAATTATGCTTATAAGCAATTAATAATGATTTCTCATTCATGAGACACTTTGTTTAGTCAACCAGTTTGTATGAGGTAACCATGCCTCCCCCCATTTCTCCTTTCCTAGCCAAGATTGGTCCACATGGGCATCTCACATGAGGTAGTCTAATTATACTTCTTTCTTCAAATGCTGGAGAGAGCATCTTTAAATGAAATTACTCTGCACATTTTTTTTCCTTCTTAAACTAACTCCTCTAAAAGAGTGAAAAAATTGAACACAAAACTGGAATAATTACTAACCAGGAAGTAGTTCTATAGACCTCTTGTTGCTAGTCACATGTGGCTATCATGAGGTCATGGTAGGCACATTGTGGCCCTCTCAGTGGCATGTACTCCCCGCAGTCACTGTGCCATTGCCTCAATATTCTTTCTCAGTGACACAATCTCCCTGCGGCGTCCAGGAGATCTATGCAGCTGGCTTTGCTGCAACTGCCTTGCACACCACAGTTCTATTCATGCTTAGAAACACTGTCACTTCAAGGAGAATTGCAGAAAGGTAAGGAAAAAGTGCTTCAATCTTAACATAAAGAATATGAAATTTAGAGAGACATTTGTTCCTTATCTAACACTTGGTAAGGTTAAAACTAGGTCCTTCGGGTCCCCTGACGGCCTAGGGGAATGACTGCTATAGTAATTCTCAAAGCGTGGTTTTCAGATGGCTAGGGATAACCAAGACCCTTTCAATGGACATTATCATGGGTAATATCTATGATGGAAATTCCCATCAGGCATTACGATTATTCACCTGTAATACCCATAGGGAGTGAGGACAACTGGATCAATCTGAAGGGCAAGATTCTAGTCAGGACTGGAGGCCCATGTTATATACTTTTGTCATTGTAGTTTTTTTCCATTGTCTCATTTCTATCTCTCCTGTAGGCTTTGATGCAGGAAGATTTGTCTCTGATGAGTATTTCCCATGCTGTTACCATCACACTTGTCAGTAGGATGGGATGGCAACAGAGCACAACTTTTGTATCCATTAGTACAGACAGTGAACTGCTAACTGGACAATAAGGAAAATGATAAAAATTTCTACATGTCAATTTCTTCCACTGGGTCTCATTTAAGGTCCCATAAAACCCTTCTTTCTCTTAATGGGTATTTTACCCACCCTGGATGTAAAAGGTTGGTTGGAAATAGTTCCGCTTGCAACTCAAACATTTGATACAAATGCATTTCCTCAAAATAACCATCATGCTTTGGCATGCAACAAAAATGCATTAAATGTATTTCCAGTTTCATCATGTAGAATATTTAAAAGATACCATATATAAGGCTTGAGATTTAATACATTAATAATTTTTACTGAATCATCAAGGACATTTTTAGGGAATGTGTATGTGTGTGCATGAGTAAGTGAAGAATACGACTATTGGTACAAGTTGGTGCCTGTTATGGGTTGAATTTTATATCTAAAAATTTATGTGTTGAAGTCCTAACCCTCAAAGATGTGACCTTATTTGAAAATAAAATCATTACAAATATAACTAGCTAAGTCAAAGTCATACTGGAGTTGAGTTAGCCCCTGATGCAATACAATTGGTGTTTTCATAAAACAAGAGCAAACTGGACACAGATATGGACACAGCAAAAGCTCCATGTAAGAATTGGAGGTATGCTGCCTAAGCCAGGAAATACCAGAAGCTAGGAGAAAGGCTTGAAACAGATCCTTTCATAGTGCCTTCAGAGGGAGAATGGCCCTACCAGCACCTTGATCTCGGTGTTTTCATTTCTAGAACTGTAACACAATAAGGTTCCATTGCCTCCACCTCTCAGTTAATGGTTCTTTGTTACAACAGCCCTAGCAAACTAATACAGTGAGTGCTCTGCACTTTATTCATGCTAAGGCACCAGTAATTTTAAACAAGAGTTCAATTGTACTATCAGGGAAAATATCAGTAGAAAGGCAAATAACATGGCTGTATGATCATCATTATTATTACTATTGTAACTCATTTTTACTGAGGGGACCCACTGAAAGGGTCTTGGTTGTCCCCAGCCATCTGAAAGTTATTCCCCTCATCCTTCATCAAAGGACCTATGATCATGTGTTTGGGTAACCATACCTGGGGAAAAAGGAATACAAAGATCTTTTGAGGGTTGTTTGAATACTAATCTGAATTGATCCTGATACCCAAGAACACAAAGAACACTAAGGGCCTCCTGTTAGAGTAGGAACATATTGGAATCAGGTAATAAAAGAAATCCTGGGTCTGGTTCATGTCACAGTAGACTTGCAAAGTCCACAGACTTATCCAGTTCAGTTGCTGAATAATTAGGACAAGCATACTTAGCAGCTTGCAGATCCTCTTGTTGGTTCCTTGATCTGTAAAGTAAGAACTATTATAATAGGACAGTCCAAGAGAAATCCCCTAAACCACCCACCTTGGCCAAGATAGTAAATAAATATTAATATTGAAGGCCTAAGGATGAGTCTCCTCTCGGACACTTAAAGTATACTAAAATAGTGGTTTCCATCATATCTCCTACTTAATTTACCTGTTCGATCCCTGCAAAACACTGAATGGTGAATTGCAGTAGGCCAGTGCAAAATTACCAATGTGTTAGCCTCAACTGCAGCTACTCTGCCACATAAGCTACCTTTACTAGCAATACTCCAGTTGTAGTATGCGGTTATCGATCTGGTAAATGCCTTATTTTCAATATTCATCAGAAAGGAACATCAAAAGTTTGTTTGTATTCCACAGGAGAGTAAACAGTATACAAACATGGTCTTGCCTTAATTTCTACTTTCATGTACCGTGTAATCTAAAGAGATCTAGGCTGTCTAGGCATTCTACAGAAACTATCACATTGGTCTACTATATTGATGACATATCAATTAGATCTTCTGAGCAAAAAGTGAGAGGTATTATGAATACCTTAGTCAATCACATGCATTCCAGAGGTGAGAAATAAATTCTATGAAGATTCAGGGCCTGAATAATCAGTAAAGTTTTTAGTGGCCCAGTGGTCTGAATCCTACCATGTATCTCCTCCCAAGAAAAGGACAAATTATTTAACCTTACTTCCTACCACTGAGTAGAACAACACTTGGTTTTGGAGGCAGCCTGCTGCATATTTGAGATTACTGCTCTGATCCTCTAATAGGATGCTAGTCTAAGTGTGTTCCAGACCAAGAAAGAAATCTGTAACAGGTCCATGCTACAGTACACCAACCCTGACAATAAGTTCATAAGATCAGGCAGATCTGTGATACAAGAAGATTCTGTGATAAAGATGCAATGCAGAGTCTCAGACAAGTCCAGTAGGACGGTCACAGTGCAGGCCTAGGGTTCTGGGGTAAATCCATGTCATCTGAAGCAGATAACTAGTTACCTTTTAAAAAACAGCTCATGGCATACTAGGGGACCCTGGTGAAGACTGAGCGTCTAATTATAGGTTATGAAATAATCAGGCTCCTAAAACAGCCTATTATAAGCTAGATACTATTAGACTCATCAAACCAAAAAGTAAGGTGGGCCCAGCAGCAATCCATTGTAAAACAGAAGTAGTACATTGGGGATCAGGCTCCAGCCTCAAGAGAACACCAGTCATTTGAGAGAACAAATGGTTCAGGCCCCCACTTCATATACCACTGTTATACGGTCATCTGTCTCTCAGCTCACATCTAAGCCCTCACTGTGAGTTCTCTAGGACCAAAACCCAAAGCTTAGCTTATGGACGAGTTGCCTCAGTCTGTGATATAAGCCAAAAAGTGGGCTGCTGCGGCACTGTAGCCCCATTCTGGTCTGGCCCTGAAAGACAGTGATGATGAAAAATACTCAAGTAAGAAATGATTCTGTAATAAAATAGATAAACTCATGAGCAGTGGCAAATAACCATTTGCCTTGTTTGGCTTGTTTCGTCAGAGACCTGGAAGAGTCAAGATTGGAAAGTAGAGGCTAAGAAGGTGTTGGGTAGAGGCATGTGGGTCTGCTTGATGGAGCACTGACACAGCCTCTTGCAGGCACAACTGAAATTTGGAAACAATAGCTTATGAAGATGGGATACCACCCTTTAGGATGTTGCTGTGTCCCCAGTTCATAGTTTAAGCTGGATCTGAGAGACAAGGAGTCGAAGTAGGGGTAGTCTCACTCACCGTCATTCTTCTGTACTGATACGTGGAATCCTTGCCTCTGCATTTACAAGTGAAATTAGCTTAGGAAATTTTTGTACACTAACTTTGTCAAGATTATATATCTGAGTTATATTTGTAACATTTAGAAAACATTTCTTCTTTCTCTATTCTATGGAAAAACTAAATGGCATAAATATTATCTGTTCTTTAAAGGCTTAAAATAATGTAAACTATTTATCTTACATAGCAATCTAAGGCCACACATTTTTTGGCAGTAATTCTCAATTTCTTCTGTGGTTCTGTATCTATTCATGCAGTTCTTCTTTTGACTTTATTACCACCCTTTCTACTTCCTTCCACTGTTTGACTGCAGCTTGACTTTTCAGGCTCCACTCTCACTACAATCCAGCATGCACACTAAACTCCTCCCACCCCAGACTATTTCTATTGACTGAACATTTTATGTGCCTTTCTACCCCGTACCTTAGTCCACAATGATCTCCTGGCCTCTTTTTTCCAACAATTTATGCTTTCTGAAATCCTTCCAGAGCCTGGGCAAAAGCTACTCTCTGTAATACACTGATTTTATATTATAGTGCTCACCTCATTCTACCTTGTAATATAATTCTGTGTCCTTGTCTATTTCCAAGACCAGAATATATAGACTACTTGAAGGTGCTGTAAGTTTTCTTCTTTTAACTTTTATTTTACCAAGCACATTTTTTTGTGCTACTAAGAAATCTACATGTTTGTTTTTTGTTGTTGTTGAATTAAATTGAATAAGTAGGTGGTATTCAAGCAATAGTGTGCAGAGAGTTATCTATTACAGTTGCACACAGGACAAATGATCATGTAAATGTTTCTACTGATGATCCAACCCTCCCATCAAACTGGTTATTAAGCGAGCATTTTACCTTCATTAAGAAATATTCTCTGGCTCTGCATTTCCGGTTGTGTCATCAGACAGGAATTATTATCTGAAGCTAGAAAACATTTACAGAAGAAATAGGGAGAAAATTAAGAAATTTTATTTACTGAAATGGACTGGAATCCCCTGATTTTGTATAAGATGATCACAGAAAACATTTCAATTCCTTAAATTAGTTAACAATCACACCAAAAATCACAGAAACCTCTACATAAATCAGCAGTGAGAACATAACCAGATAAATGCATATATGATAGGATTTTGACATTTCTTGTGCACAGTTATGAATAAATGATTCATCCAATGTTACTATAACAGATCAGCTCTACCAGTCTTTTGCCAGGCACACCCACTTCTAATCAGTGGAAGAGTTCAATGCAGGCCCCAAGAGTAAAGTTCCATTTCCAGAACTATTATAGAAATGATAGACAACCTCCTCTACTTAAAAAAAAAAAAAAACTTAGAAGTATTGGATAAACTAGAACAATTCTTTTTTCAAATGCATGGCTGAACTTGCAAAAAAAATGCTAAAGGAAACTTCTCAAGGTAAAAATGACAAGGAAACAGAAAACCACAAGATCATTTGCTGGTCTCAATAACATAAAGCCTTTTAAAAATAATTACTGAGATAAATTTAAATTTATTGTGATTTGTTTTATGGCTCATTTAATGGTCTGCCTTGATAAACATTGTGTGTTCACCTGAAAAAAGGTGTATCCTCTTGTGAGAGCTAGTTTTATGTGTCAAGTTGGCTAGTGTATACAATCATTCAGTCAAGCAAACACTAATTTCAGCATTGCTGTAAAGGTATTTTGTAGGTGTGGTTAATAACTACAATCAATTGATTTTAAGTAAAGGAAATTATTCTCAATAAAATAGATGGGCCTCACTCGATCCATTGAAAGGCCTTAAAAGTGAGGTTCTCCGGAGTAAGAAAAAAAATTCTTCCTCAAGATTGCAGCATTAGTTGCATTAGTTTCTGACCAAGAGTTTCCGGACAACCAGTCCACCCTATAAATTTCAAACTTATCAGCTTCCACAATTGCAACAATCAATTCCTTGAAATAACATACACACACACACACACACACACACACACACACACACTCATACATACACATACTTTCTACTCATTATCTTTCTCTGGTGGAACCCTGACTGATACAGATTTGGTACCATACGTGGTCCTCAAGAAACAGAATCATAAGGCTGAATTTTCAGAATTAGTCCTGGGTTTTCTGGAATTGGTCATCTAATCTAGTTAAATTTAAAAGCACTAATGACTGTATTTCTAGTGTTAGTGGGCACACTGAAAGTCCATGGCCATGAAGTAACAATGGAGATATGCAAAATGTCACCATTGGATGGGCCTAGTCAAATTCTTACAAAAGGCAAGGTCTGAGTTGTATTTGATACATTTTAGCATAAGGAGATTGGCTGGTTTCTCCTAATTTGCTGGGCAAATGGAGAAAGAAAAAGATGAGTTCAGGGCTTCAGATTCTCAAACTGTATGAGTAAACTGGAAATTTCTATGTCTGCCATGAAAGAACCCCCATCTTCTCAGCAAGGCTGAAGTTTCCAGAAACCAAAACTTATCCTGTAAATGGCTGAATGACAACACAAATTGAATTCCTAACCTGTCAGTGTATCTCTGCTACAGTGAGGTTATCGACTGGAAAGGAATGGGATCCTGAAAATTGGAATGTGAACATATAAGCAAAAGCCAAGGAAACTGAACATATAAAATCTCTAAAGTTTCCTAAGTCTTTGCCCATAGAAGCAGCCCTCCCACCCCTGTTTGGAGATGTTAACCGCCTGCTTTGCCTAAAGAAACTATAATGACTTTTCTTCAATTGGTTGCCTGAAAAGATACTTTCTGTTCTCAGGATCTCCCCCCTCACTCCTCTTTGCTTCCAGATTTATAACTAGACCCCAAAGAGTGAGGTACGGTGTGACCCACAAGGAGGTACACTACACACCAGAAGATCTATATGATTTCTCCAATGTATACAGTTATACATTTGGACAATACATACAGAAATGAAGATTAAGGATGTGAAGTAATGAAAAAGACAAAGCTGAACGAGGCCAAATTATTAACATGAACCCAGTAAGCAGAGATTCTAGATTCAATGCTGTAACTCCAGGCATTAGAAAGGGCTCTGTGTGTGTTAGTCAGTTCTGCCACCGATATCAAGAAATACCCAAGACTGGGTAATTTATAAAGAAAAAGGGTTTAATTGGCTCATGGATCCACAGGCTGTATGGGATGCATGGTGGCATCTGCTGCTGGGAAGGCCTCAGGGGGCTTTTATTCACGGCAAAAGGCAAAGCCAGAGCTGGCATGTTCATACAGCCAGGGCTGGAGGAAGAAGGTGTGGGTGGGGATGCTACCCACTTCTTTTTTTTTTTTTTTTTTTTGAGGAAGAAAGAGAGAAAGAAAGAAAAAGAATTAAAAAAAAAAAGAAAAAGAAAAAAAAAGAATAAAGGAAAGGAAGAAAGAGGAAGAGGGAGAGAGAACAGGGATGTTGCTTTATTGCCCAGGCTAAAATGCAGTCTAAAAATGGGTATGCCTGTAATTATGTTTAATAATAGAGACAGGAAGAAAATAATTAACAAGCAGCCAACCAATATTTCATTTAAACCTGTAAATACGTGTGATGTAGTACTGATAAGAGTGTATGTTTTGTGTATTAAAGTGAAGAGTTCTATGAATGTTAATTAAGTCTACTTGTTCCAGATCTGAGTTCAAGTCCTGAATATCGATGTTAACTTTCTGTCTCATTGATCTGTAAGTCTCCCACTATTATTGTGTGGGGGTCCAAGTCTCTTTATAAGTCTTATATATCTGGGTATTTTTGTATTGGGTGCATATATATTTGGGATCTTTAGCTCTTCTTGTTACATTGATCCTTTTATGTAATATCCTTCTTTGCTTCTTTTGATCTTTGTTGCTTTGAAGTCTATTTTATCAGCAAAAATTGCAACTCCTACTTTCTATTTATTTATTTTTGCTCTCCATTTTGTTGGTAAATTTTTCTCCATCCCTTTGTTTTGAGTCTTTGCGTATCCTTGCATGTAAGATGGATCTGGATGTAGCATACCAATGGGTCTTGGCTTTTTTTGCCTGTGTCTTTGGATTGGGGGATTTAGTCGATTTAAATTTAGAATTAATATCAATATATATGAGTTTGATGCTGTCATTTAATGTTGGCTGGCTGTTTTGCCAGTTAATTGATGCAATTTCTTGATTATGTTGATGTTCTTTATTTTTTGGCATTTTTTAGAAAGGCTGATACTGGTTGTTCCTTTCTATTTGTAGTGGTTCTTTCAGAAGCTCTTGTAAAGCAGGCCTGGTGGTGATGAAATCTCTGAGTGCTTGTTTGTTCACAAAAGATTTTATTTTTCCTTCGCTTATGAAGCTTAGTTTGGCTGGATGTAAAATTCTGGGTTGAAAGTTCTTTTCTTTAAGGATGTTGAATATTGGCCCCCACTCTCTTCTGTCTTGTAGGGTTTCTGCTGAGAGATCTGCTGTGAGTCTGATGGGCTTCCCTTTATGGGTAACCTGACCTTTCTCTCTGGCTGCCCTCAGTATTTTCTCTTTCATTTCAACCCTGGTGAATCTGGCGATTATGTGCCTTGAGGTTGGTCTTCTTGAGGAATATCTTTGTGGTGTTCTCTGTATTTCCTGGAGTTGAATATTATCCTGCCTTGCTAGGTTGGGAAAGTTTTCCTGGATAATATCCTGAAGAGTATTTTCCAGCTTGGATTCATTCTCTTCATCGCATTCGGGTACGCCTATCAAACGTAGATTAGGTCTTTTCACATAGTCCCACATTTCTTGGAGACTTTGTTCGTTCCTTTTTACCCTTTTTTCTCTAATCTTGTCTTTTTGTTTTATTTCATGAAGTTGGTCTTCGACCTCTAATATCTTTTCTTCTGCTTGATCAATTTGGCTGTTAAAACTTGTGCATAGTTCGCGAAGTTCTCGTGTTGTATTTTTCAGCTCCATTAATTCACTTATATTCCTCTCTAAATTATGTGTTATTTTTAACATTTCTTCAAACATTTTTTCAAAGTTCTTAGTTTCTTTGCATTGGGTTAGAACAAGTTCTTTTAATTCCCAGAAGTTTCTTATCATCCACTTTTTAAAGTCTGCTTCTGCTAATGGAACACAGTCTTTCTCCATCAGGCCTTGTTCTGTTGCTGATGAGGAACTGTGATCCCCTGTGGAGGGAGAGGCGTTCTGAGTTTGGGTATTCTCAGCCTTTTTAGGCTGTTTTCTTCCTTTCTTTATAGATTTATCCATCTGTGGTCTTTATAATTACCGTCTTTATAGTTGGGTTTCTGAATGGACGTCCAACTTGTTGATTCCCAGCGCTAGAATCTAAGCAACCCACTGTGCCAGTCGAAACAGCGGCTTTAAGATTGATGGTGCTTTTCTGACTCTGCACCAAGAACCGTCGCTCCAAGGCAGCGGCAAAACTGCCTCACCACCCTCAAGAGTCGCGCTGGAGATACACGTGGGGCTCCTCCGCTGGGAATCTCCTGGTGCATGAGCAACAAAAATTGGTCTGAAAGTGTGGTGTCCTCTCGTTCTCTGCGCTTTCAGTGGGAGCTACAATCCCGAGCTGCTAGTGATCAGCCATCTTGGATCTCTATTTTCACTACTAAACACTTCTAAACAACCAGATCTCGTAACTCACTCACTATCATGCAAACAGCACCGAGGCAATAGTGCTAACACATTCATAAGAACGCCACCTCCATGATCCGATTGCCTCCCACCAGACTCCACCTCCCACACTGGGAATTACAGTTAGACATGAGATTTAGTGAGGACACAGACCCAAACCATATCACTATTCATTTGTTTAGTGGGCCGAAACATGGACCAAATTGTGGTCTACGCTAAATAAAAATAAAATATCAGAACTGCTTCAATATATGGAAAAATTAGAGAGCCAGAGAAAAACAGTTCCAAAATCTGCATATAAGCTCACCCCATTTCTTGCTAGAATTCTAGCTAGAAAAACTTTGAAATTGTTAATACATGAGTGTTAATACATGAACAATGTCATTACATGAGTGTTAATACATGAATAATGCCATTTCTTTCTGGAAAACATGCTGATTGTGACAGATTATTATATAAATTATATATTTGATATTATTTAAGATAGATGGTTGTTGATTTGATTCTTAGGAGCTATTAGTATCACACAGTCCAAAGCTATTTCATAACCACAGATCTGCTCCTTAATCCTAGTCAGGGATATGGAGTGTATGTTAGTAATAGCAAGAGAAAAGAGGCAAAAATATATTGATGGCTTAATATGGTTTGGCTCTGTGTCCCCACCCAAATCTCATTTTGAATTATGATCCTGAGTGGCACCTGGTTGGAGGTGATTGGATCATGGGGTGGTTTCTAATGATTTAGCACCCTCCCCCTAGTGCTGTCTCATGATAGAGTTCTCACAAGATCTGCTTGTTTAAAAGTATGTAGCACCTCCCCACCTTCTGCTGGGCATTTGAAGACATGCTTGCTTCCCCTTTACCTTTCCACCATGATTTTAAGTTTTCTGAGGCCACCCCAGCCAAGCTTCCTGTACAGCCTCTGGAACAGTGAGCCAATTAAACCTCTTTTCTTTATAAATTAACCATTCTTGGGTAGTTCTTTTAGCATACCAGAGAATAGGCAGAGGTACAGCTCAAACCTGTGTGGAGCCCAGAAAATTTCTCATGTGGGGCAGGTGCAGCAAAACACAACCATATGCATCCATCACCATGGTTTGCCATCTTGCTCTGAGTGACTCTAACCCCTGCTGAGTGCCAGGCTGGCAGAAGGAAGGGCTGCCTTTCCCACAGGACTACTGTGTGTCTAATCTACCCTTGTGCACCAGCCCCATCCAAGGCCCATGCCTGGCCACTCCTGAAATAGGGTGCACACAGAATAGCCTCCATTTCCCCACCTGAGTATTTTGCAGCGGGCTGGAAGCAGTTTGACCTTCCCAGCACACCTGGTGCTCAGTCCTGAGGGGTCAGAGGATAAAACCATGCACTCAATCCCAACATCCAGCATTCAAGCACACCACCCAGAGGTATCAAGATGAGATCTGCTGCCTGAGTTCAAGCCAGGGTGGAGCCCCCAATCTCAGAACACTGAGAAGAGTGAGGAGTAGGTTTGTGTTTTGGCATGGTAGTTGGGTGTCCCTTTATCCATGAGACTGGTCAAATAAGGGTTTAGCCTATTGGTCAGCTGCAGCTTCTGCCCAGGGGATCTTCCTAGACAGGAAGAGAGAGTAAGCAACTTAGAAAACATATTTGAGGATACAGTTCTGAAAAATTTACCCAATCTTACTAAAGAGGTTGACATGCAAATTTGAGAAATTCAGAGAATTGCAATATACTACACAAGATGACCATCTCCAAGATACATAGTCATTAGACTTTCCAAGGTCAATGTGAAATAAAATCTTATAAGCAGCTGGAGAAAAGGGCCAGCACACTTACAAAGGAATCCCATTGGATTAACAGCAGACATCTCGGCAGAAAGCATATAAGCCAGAAGCGATTGGGGTCTATTTTCAGTATCCTTAGAGAAAAGAAATTCCAACTAAGAATTTCATACTCTCCAAACTGTGCTTTGTAAGCAAAGAGAAATACAATCTTTCCTAAGCAAGCAAACACGAAGATAATTCATTGCCACTAGGCCAACCTTACCAGAGATCCTGAAGGGAGTTCTAAACATACAAATTTAAGAACAATATCTGTTGCTACAAAGACACACTTAACTACACAGCCCTATAAAGCAACTACACAATCAAGACTCCAAAGCAACCAGCTAACAACATCACAACAGGATCAAAACTTCACATATCAATATTAATCTGGAATTAAACAATCTAAATGCCCCACTTAAAAGGCACAGAGTGGCAAGTTGGATAAAAGAACAAGACGTAACCATCTGCTGCCTTTCAGAGACCTATCTCACATGTAACAACAGAGACAGGCTGAAAGTAAAGGGGTGGAAAGAGATCTATCACACAAATGGAAGACAAAAAAGAACAGGGGTTACTATTCTCACATCAGATAAAACAAAATTTAAACCAACAATAGAAAAGGACAAAGAAGAGCATTACATAATGATACGGGGTTCAAATAAACGAAAATACTTAACTATCCTAAGTATATACATGCCCAACATTGGAGCACCCAGAATTAAAAAACCCCACATATTTCTAAACTTATGGAGAGACTTAGTGACTTAATAATAGCTGGAGACTTCAACATCCCACTGACATCATTAGATCATCAAGGCAGAAAACTAACCAAAAAATTCTGGTCTTAAATGTAATATTTGATCAGTTGGATCTAACAGACATTTACAGAATACTCCACCCAACAACCACAGAATATCTATTTTTCTTATCACATGGAACATACTCTGAGGTCAACCATATACTCAACCATAAAGCAAGTATCAGTAAGTTCAAAATATCAAAATCATGCCAACCATACTCTCAGACTACAGTGGAATAAAAATAGAAATCAATATCAAGAATGTCTCTGAAAACTATACAATAACATGGAAATTAAACTACTCGATCTTCAATAAATTTTGGGTAGACAATAAAGTTAAGGAAGAAATTTAAAAAGTTTGAAATTAATTAAAACAGAGACACAACATATAAAAATCCCTGAGATGCAGCAAAAGCAGTGTTAAGAGGAAAGTTTATAGTGCTGAACACCTACTTCAAGAAGTTAGAAAGATCTCAAATGAACAATCTAACATCACACTTAGAAGAACTAGAAAAACAAGAACAAACTAAACCCAAAGCTAGCAGAAGAAAATAAATTGCTAAAATCAGAGCAGAACTGAATGAAATTAAGATCCAAAAATCTATACAAAGGATCAACAAAACCAAAAGGTGACCCCTTGAAAAGATAAACAAGATCAATAGAGTACTAGCTGGATTAACAAAGAAAAAAGAAGATCCAAATAAATATAATCAGTTATGACAAAGGTGACATTACAATTGATCTCACAGAAATACAAAAGATCCTCAGAGACTATTATAAACACCTTTATGCACACAAACTAGAAAAATCTAGAAGAGATTGATGAATTCCTGAAAATACACAACTTCCCAAGATTGAATGAAGAGAAATTGAAAGCCTAAGCAGACTAATAAGTTCTCAAATTGAATCCGTAATTTTAAAAATCTACCAACAAAAGAAGTCCAGGACAACGTTTATGTCACAGAAGTTTAGTTTCACTTCAATCCCACCTTCCAATTACTGTGAATTCAGCTAGTCACCTAGTCAGTTATACCGTCTGGATAAGGTAACTCAGAAGGAGTTTTGCTGGAAAATGTACACATTTATCACTGCTGCTAGGACAAGTCAAGAAATACCTTATAAGTAAGTAGATCAAGAGTATCCTCATAATCATTGAAAGAAAGCTTTATTTTTAGCTGAAAATGTCACAGTATCAGACTTACCAGATACCATGATAACGATGGAGATCAGTAACATTGAAGCGGGCATCTTTCCCCACGTATGCATTTGGAGTAGTTTTCTACTTAAACATAAATCCACTTTAAATCAATCAACAGACAGTCTGTTTCTCTTGGTCACTTTTGTTTGTTCTCTTTTCAACAGGATTGCAAAACATGTTTCTTCATCATCTTGCTGATCTTTAACTTCTGCTTTTATTGCATATGTTTTTGACTGATTAGCCACTGACAGAAAGTGTTAGTGCATTTTGCTGAGTAATATACCAAAAAAAACAGTGCTTACTACTTATTGCTTCTCCCACAGCACTGAAGTAACAAGATTAATTATATAACAATTAATTTGAAAAGCAGCATTTTGAGAGTATAAATTACGTATGGTAAAATGAACATATCTTGAGTATACAGTTTGATGAATTTTTAACATATATGTGCACTCATCCAATTACTTCCAAAACCAAAGTGTCGATAATTTTTATTACTCAAAATTTCCTTTGTTCCCTCTGGGCTCATATCTTCTCCTCCAGAGATAAACACTACTTAGACTTCTAATAGCATTAATTCATTCTGACAGCTTTTGAACTTCACATACATGAAATTCTTTGCATAGTTTGTTAATGCTGTATAGCAAATTTTAATAACTATATCACAATTTATTCCTTTTTCTGTAAATTTAGATTGTCCCAGTTTGGGGCTAATATAAAACTAAGAATATTCTTTTTTTGTACATAATTTTTCGTCTATGTGTACATTCATTTTCTTGGATATATACCTAGGAATTAAGTCGTTGGTTTATAAGTGTGTTATAAGATATGTGTGTCTTTAATAAGTACTTTCAGTCATGAGTTGAATAGTGCACTCCTCACCAACATTTATTTGTTGAAATTCTAATCCCCAGTGCCTCAGAAGATGACCTTATTTGGAAATAGGGTCATTGCAGATATAATTAGTTAAGATGTGGCCATCCTGAAATAGATTGGTCCCTAATCCAATATAACTGGTGTCTTTGGTTTATTCTTTTTCTCTTCTTTTGCACTTCTTAGCTTCTTATGGTGTCCTTATAACAAGAGGAAAACTGGGTGCATACATAGGAACACCATGTAAAGACAAAGGCAGAGATCAGAGTGATGCTTCTTCTACAAGCCAAAGAAAACCAAATGTTGCCAGAAAACCATTGTAAACTAGGATAGAAGCAAAGATTCTTCCCTCCTGTTTTATGAGATTAAAGATTCTTTTGATGACAGGACCCAACACAAAGACTATCTTGGATAGATGAAAGGCAAACCTCTTTGTTACTTACAGCTCCAAACAAAAGACTTTTATGTAGGGCTGCACAGTGACTGCACACACGGACTGGGTAACAACACACTGGAGCTGTAGAGAATACCTTATATATGGCAATTGGAGCAGGATTAGGTTTCCTGAAAACCCTGTGCATAAGCTAATTTGAATGACTTCGCTAGCTCTGGGACATAGCTGTCTGTCAGATATTCAAATGGGGAGCTGACTAACCATTAGGGGCTCAAAACTGGGACTAAAAGGCATTTTTTTGACATGAAAACTAGTAAAAATTGACCTATTGATCTCCACATTAATGTTAAGCTTGATTACTTGACGTATTTGAGTGGCCTAAATTGTAGAGAAGACTTTTAGAGTAGTGCATACATTGGCCTAAATAGCATAAATGAATTTTATTATTTTTTCCTTAAAAAGGAGGAAAACAAGTAGGAGTATAAGGAGTCCTTGTAGCCTGGTTCATAACCAAGTTTCACATTGTATGGCCTTAGCCAAGAAAACAGATCTGGGATTTCCAGGATCTCCAACAATATACTAATTGAGTTAAAGTATGTTAAAACATGAGCTATATTTTTGTGTGTGTGATAGTAATCTCATGGTATATTCCAGGGTTCAAGGTGGCAGGTCCAACAATTACATTTTTGGAGAGTATGAAGTTAGTTAAGTAAGACGTATGTAAAGATTAGTGACGTTTGTGACCTAGGGGAAGAGGCAGCAGCTGTGGTCATGGATGCAGGGCAGGACGTTGCGGTAGCAAACTGGAGTGGACAGTGTCAGAGGAGGTAGTGAGCAATGGGAGGTCCTCTCTCTGGGGGGTTGAGGGGTGAACCCATATGTGGCAGTTACTTCCTGGAAAAACAAATAATCTCATTAATTATTAAAATGGCACAAAGACTAGTACACTCTACCAGATATTTCTTTAGGTGTGGAAGTATAAAGAGGTACATTTTGGCAGAGAATAAGAGTATGAACTAAGCAAATGCTAAATTCAGGGAATGAAACAATTTCTCTTATCAAAGGAAGTAAAATGATAAATGTTCTGTGTCCAATTTTTCAGCTCCTTAGGAAATCCAGCATATGTATGTTTCTGGGGTAGTGATCTCAGTATCCTGGGTGAAGTTGTTTCTGGGAAAAGGGGCAAAGTCATCTTCAAGGTCAAAGTTGGGCTGAAGCAATATAATCTATAATGTGAAACTGAAACTGGAACTGTGATATGGGACATCTTTTTCAAATGATCACAAACTTGAGTTGATTTGGGTCTTATTTTTGTGGCTCTATGGTATTATAATGAGGCTGAGCCACACGTGGAGTATGAAGGCAATGTTAGGCCTGGGGACTTGACATGCAAATATCATTTAAGTCAAGGAGTTTTGTGGCACACAGTTAGCAAAGGTGGGGTCAGTATCCATGATACTGCTGTAATGTATCAAAGCACCAGAACTGAATAGCATAATTAAAGCCTCAATTAAGTGTGGTTGAATTTAAAATTCCCAACAGCCCAAGCTTTTGAGTTATGAAATAGGTTTTGCTGCAAATAGATTTTCAGTCATGGATTTCTCCTCCAAGAGAGTCAACTAGACACAGCCAGGAGGAGTATCTTCTACTGAGAGACCCGGACATTGAAAAGGCTGGCACACTGCTAGCCTCTGAAGGCATTGAGAGCAGATGGAGGGAAGAAGATGCTGGGCTGAAGGAGGAGGAAGATGTGAACCCTGCACGGAACTAATGGAACACTAGAACTCATTGCTGGCCACCAACGACTCCTGCAAAGGGATGGGTTAAACAGGCAAGGAGCAATCCAGTTTCTGAAATCCCAGCAGGAGAAGACCTGGACCACCATAGACACTTGAATTGACAGAAAGACCTGTTTAGAAAAGTGATAGAAGTAGAGCTCCTGCTGGCATGAAGCCCAGACAGTTTGGTCTGGAACATCTGTAGTGAACCACTCAGCCAGGGTTACCCATACTCCTAGGCTCAACTTGCTCCCATAGGAGACTTGAACCCTAGGGGAACTGTTGGACCTTAACTCTGCAGGGTAATATTGCCCATGGGATGGGGCTCGTTTGACCTGGGCACCTCTTGGTCTGCTGGCCTCTCCCAGGGCTCCAACCTGGTGGCACCTGCTTATAGTGCAGCCACCAGGTACATTGGGGGCTCAGATCATAGCTCCTGCACTGGTGGACCATGCCTGACTGGCAGAGTGTTTGGCAGAACAGCCCCTGCAGTCACCTGCACCCCAGGTACAGGTACCCCAGAACACCCCAGCTCACCTGCACTCTCCCCCTACCTCCATAGGCTCACCTGTGTCATTTTGCCTGCACACACTCGCCCACAGCCACCCCCCCATCACCACATTACTTTGTTGGTGCACATGTGCACCAGGGGACCTTCCCTTCTCTTACCCACTAGCATGTGTGTGCACATGCACCCTGCTGTGCCACTGCTGCCAGTGTGAGTGCACCCCGCCTTCACCCCTTGCAGAGCAGCCATTGTCGTTGGAGCATTGGCGGGCATGGAGCACACTAGCCCTGCCCACACTAGCCCTGCCCCCACCAGTGACTACCCTGGGCTGATATTGCCGCCAGCGAGAAACTTTAGAGGGAGAACAGCAAAACCACCCCTGTCCTGAGCAGCCAAGGCTGCCTGTGTGAATACTCACAGAGGGCACACACAATCCTGCGTCTGCCAGTAACCTGCCCCCATGCTAACACCATGAATAGCACAAACGAGTGCACAGACACTGGAAGGGGCCCTGAACCTCTGAGGGATGATGCCACCATACTGCTGAGAACAACTACATGGAACCTGGCAGCCTGGCACCAACTAGCACCCTGCCAAAGCCCATGAGTATACACCCTGACATGCTGCCACTGCCTGTGCTGCTGATACACGTGAACCAGGATGGATCCTGCTGCCACTGCTCTATGAAGTGCTTTGGCTGGCACCACCTATTAGAGTGTTGTGGCCAGTGTTCTGGAGCAGCATGGTACTTCCAATGCAACAGGTTCCTTCCTAACCTGAAGAAGCCAAAGAACAAAATGAGGGCCCAATACCAGAAACCTGGAGTCCAGGGGTCCTGAGCTGAGCCTTGACCCTCTAAAACATTCCAGAAATGAAGCCAGTTGGTTGAACCCACCTTACACCACAATCAAACACCCACTGTCATCAAATAGGGTAAAAGAAAAAGAAAGCCCATCCAAAGGACAGCAGCTTCAAAGATAGAAGGAACATCAGTCCACAAAGAGGAGAAAAAACAGCACAAGAACTCTGACAACTACAAAAGCCAGAGCATCTTCTTTCCTCCAAATGATCATACTAGATTTTTAAGAATAGTTCCTAACTCGGTTGAGGTGGCTCAAATGAGAGAAAGAGAATTCAGAATATGGATAAAAACAAAGATATTGAGATTTAGGAGCATGTTGAAACCCAATTTGAGGAAACTAAAAATAACAATAAAATGATACAGGAGCTGACAGACAAAATAGCCAGAATAGAAAAGAATGTAACCAACCTAATAGATCTGAAACCACACTGAAATAATTTCATAATGCATTCACAAGTATGAACAGCAGAATATGTAGAAAAAGCTAAGGAAAGAAACTCAGAGCTTGAAGACTGACTTTTTAAAATAAGACAGACAAGAATAAAAATAGAGAATGAAAAGAGATAAATAAAACCTCCAAGAAACATGGCATTATGTAGAGAGGCCAAATCTACAACTCATTGGCATCCCTGAAAGAGATGGGAGAAATGGAAGCAACTTGGAAAACATTTTTCAGGATATCATCTATGAAAACTTACCTAATCTAGCTAGAGAGGCCAACATTCAAATTCAGAAGTGGAAAGAACCCCCACAAAACACTTCACAAGAAGATCACCCTCAAGACACATCATCATCAGATTCTCCAAGGTCAAAATGAGAGAAAAAAATGTTGGAGGCAGCTAGAGAGAAAGGACTGGTCACCTACAAAGGGTAACCCATCTGAATAACAGCAGATCTCTCAGCAGAAAACCTACAAGGCAGAAAATACTGGGGGCCTATATTCAACATTCTTAGAAATTCCAACCAATAATTTCATATCCAGCCAAACTAACCTGCCTAAGCAAAAGAGAAATAACATCCTTTTTAGACAAGCAAATACTGAGAGAATCTGGTACCACAAGGCCTGGCTTACAAGAGTCCCTAAAAGAAGCACTAAATATGGAAAGAAAAAACTGGTATCAGCCACTATGAAAACACACTTAAGTAGGCAGACCAGTGACACTGTAAAGCAACCACACAAACAAACCAGCATAATAACAACCTAATAATAGCATCAAAGCCACACATATCTATACTAACCTTGAATGTAAATGGGTTAAACATCCTAATTAAAAGGTATGGAGTGGCAACCTGGATAAAGACGTAAGACCCAATGGTGCCTATCTTCAAGAGATCCGTCTCACATGCAGTGACATCCACAGGCTCAAAATAAAAGAATGGGGAAAAAAAACCTACCAAGCAAAAAGAGAAGAGAAAAAAAAGGAAAGGTAGTGATCTTAATTTTAGACAAAACAGACTTTAAACAACCAAAGATTTAAAAAGGCAAAGAAGAGCATTAAATAATGGTAAAGGGTTCAATTCAACAAGAAGACCTAACTAGCCTACCTATATCAAATACACATGCACTCAACACAGGAGAACCCAGATTCATAAAGCAAGTTCTTAAATACCTTCAAAGAGACTGACACTCCCAAACAATGGTAGTGGGAGACTTCAACACCCACTGACAGTAATAGATCCTCAAGGCAGAAAATTAGCAAAGATAGTCAGGACCTGAACTCAATATTGAACCAAATGGTCCTGATGGACATCTACAGAACTCTTCCCCAAAAAACAGCAGAAGATATATTCTGCCCATCACCAATTGGCACATACTCTAAATAATCAACCACACAACTGGACATAAAACATTCCTCAGCAAATGCAAAAGGACCAAAATCATACCAACCACTGTCAGACCACAGCACAATAAAATAATAATATAATCCAAGACTAAGAAAATCAATCACCATGAAACAATTACATGGAAATGAAATAACTTGCACCTGAATTACAGGATAAATAATAAAATTACAGCAGAAATCAACATATTCTTTGAAACTTAACAAGAACAAAAATACAACATACTAGAATCTCTGGGACACAGCTAAGGCAGCATTAAGAGGGAAATTTATAGCACAGAATGCACACATCACAAAGTTAGAAAGATCTCAAATTAAAAACCGAACATTACAACTAAAAGAAGTAGAGAAGCAAGAGCAAACCAACCCCAAAGCCAGCACTCCTATTCAACATAATACTGGAAGTCCTGGCCAAAGCAATCAGTCAAGAGAAAGAAAGGGCATCCAAATAAGAATAGAGAAAGTTAATCTAGCCCTATTTGCAAATGACATTATTCTATATTTACAAAACCCCATAGTCTCAGTCCAAAAGATCCTTAAGCTGATAAACAACTTCAGAAAAATTTCAGGATACAAAAATGACTAGTATTCCTATACAGCAACAACAGCCAATCCAAGAGCCAAATCAGGAATATGATCCCATTCACAGTTGTCTCAGAAGAATAAAATACCTAGGAATGAAGCTACCCAGGGAGGTAAAAGATCTCTGCAATGAGAATTCCAAAATACCACTCAAAGAAACTGGAGATGACACAAACAAATGGAAAAACATTCCATGCTCATGGATAAGAATCGGTATCATTATAATGGCTCTACTGTCCAAAGCAATTTATAGGTTCAATGATCTTTCTATCAAACTACCAAAGAGATTCTTCACTGAACTAGAAAAAAAACTATTTTGAAATTCATATGGAACCAAAAAAGAACCCAAATACATAAGACAATCCTAAGAAAGAATAATAGAGTAGACATCATGCTACCTGACTTCAAACTATACTACAAGGCTACAGTAATGAAAGCAGCATGGTACTGGTATAAAAACAAACACATGGACCAATGGAACAGAATAGAGAACTCAGAAATAAGACCACTCATCTACAACCATCTGATTTTTGGCAAAATTGCCCAAAAAAAAGCAATGGGGAAAGGACGCTACTCAATAAATGGTGCCGAGATAACTGGTAGCCATAAGCAAAAGATTAAAAGTGGATCTCTTCTTTATACCATATACAAAAATCAACTCAAGATGTAATAAAGGCTTAAATGTAAAAACCAAAACTATAAAAAACCTTGGAATACAACCTAGGTAATACCATTCTTGACACAGGAACCAGCAAAGATTTCATGACAAACACACCAACAGCAATTGCAACAAAAGCAAAACTTGACAATGGAGTCTAATTAAACTTAAGAACTTTGAATGGAGGAAAATATTTTCAAACTATGCATTCGACAAAGGTCTAATATTCAGCATCTATAATGAGCTTAAATCAACAAGCAAAATAAGAACCCCATTAAAAAGTAGGCAGAGGACACGAACAGACAGAAGACATAAATTCGGGAAACAAGCATTTGAAAAAAACTTCAATACCACTATCATTAGAGAAATGCAAATCAAAACCACAATGAGATACCACCTCACACCAGTCAGAATGGCTATTAAGAAGTCAAAAAGTAACAGATTCTAGTGAGGTTGCAGAGAAAAGGGAATGTTTATACACTGTTGGTGGGACTATAAATTAGTTCAATCATTATGGAAAGCAGTGTGGAGATTCACTACAAAGCTAAAAACATCATTACCATTCAACCCAGCAATCCCATTACTGGGTATATACCCAAAGGAATAGAAAGTAAATATAACATGTTCATCATAAAAACACATGCACACATTGTAGCTCTATTTACTATAGCAAAGACATGGAATCAGCCTAAATGTCCATCAATGATAGACTGGATAAAGAAAATGTGGTACATTTACACCATGGAATACTATGCAGCCATACAAAAGAATGAAATTATGTTCTTTACAGGAACATGAATGGAGCTAGAGGCCATTATCCTCAGCAAACTAACACAGAAATGGAAAATCAAATACTGCATGTTCTCGCCTAAAAGTGGGACCTAATTGATGAGAGCACATGGACAAAAAGAAAGGAACAACAGATACTGAGACCTAGCTGAGGGCAAAGGGTGGGAGGAAGAAGAAGAGCAGAAAAAATAACTATTGAATATTAAGCTTAGTATCTGGTTAATGAAATAATCTG